ATTGGTGTATTCTAGATACACAATGATAGTGTTCATATAAGGAGTTGTCCCTGTACATAATATATTTTGCTTTTTTTTCCCTGTTCTCTTACCCTCCCTTCAACACCTCTCCCCCTCATTTATGAAAGCTTCATTTCCATTTTTTCCTTCTACATTATTTATTTTCTTTTCCACCTCCCTCTTCCCTTGTTTCTCTTCTCAATGATATGTTTTCTTCCTATTTCCCAATATCTATTACACATTCTGGTCCTTATTCATACTTGTAATTTCTTGCACCAGAGAAACAATATGGTATTTACACGTTTGTGTCCAATTGATTTCACTTAAGAGTACAGCCTCAAGATGCATCCATTTACTAGCAATGTCTCAAGCTTATCCTTTTTATGGCAGAGTAGTATTCCCTTATATTTAAAAAAACACATAGTCTTTATCCATTCATTGACTGATGGGCATTTGGGCTGTTTCCAAGCTTTAGCCATTGCAAACTATGCTGCATTGGGTGTGCATATATCACTGTGATATGATGCAGTTAATTCTTTCAAGAAGATACCAAGAAAGGGAGTAGCTGGGTCGAATGGAACCTCTAGCTTTAGTGTTTTGAGGAATCTCTGCACAGATTTCCACAGTGATTGCAACAGTCTACACTCACAACAACAGTGGAGAGGGGTGCCTTTCTCCCCACAGCCCCGCCAGCATTTGTTATTGGTTGATTTCTTGATAATTGCCATTCTTTCTGGGGTCAGATGGAATCTCAGTGTTGTTTTAATTTGTATCTCACAAATAACCAGTGATGTTGAATATTTTTCATATATTTACTTGCAATTTCTACTTCATCTGAGAAGTATCTATTCATTTCAGATGCTCATTTTTGGATTGGGTCTTTAATTTTGGAGGGCTCTAATTTTTTGAGTTCTTTATATATTCTAGATATTAGTCCTTTGTTGAAAGAACAGAGAACAGGTGGCCAAAATTTTCCCACTCTGGATTTCTCTTCATTCTGTTGGTGGCTTCTTTTGCTGTACAAAAGCTTTTTAATAAGGTGAAATCCCAGTGGTTGATTCTTTGAGTTTTGTTTGCCAACAGTTATAGCTTCAAGAGTTCTACCTGTTCTCTCTTCTGGCAGATTTAGTATTACTGTTTTAATATTTAGACCTTTGATTCATTTCGTTTTTAGTTTAGCGCATGGTGAAAGATACAGGTCTGGTTTTAATCTTCAGCCTGAGGAAAGCCAGTTTTTCTAGCAATATTTATTAAACAGGCTATCTTTCTTCTAGGGAAGTTATTTGGCTCCTTTTGTCAAAGATAAGGTGGCTGGATGTATCTGGAGTTGTTTTTGTATCTTCTAATCTGTTTCATTGATCTTGGGGTCTGTTTTTCTTGCCAGTCATGTGCTGCTTTTATCACAGTAACTTTGTAGCATAATTCCAAGTCAGGGATTTTGATCCCTCCTGCCTTGCCTTTGTTGCCCAGAATTGCTTTTGCTTTTCTAGGTCACTTCTGGTTCTAAATGAATTTTTGGATTGTTTTCTCTAAATCTGTGAGATATGCTATTGGTATTTTGATGGAAATTACATTAAATCTGTATAACAGTTTTGGAAGTATGGTCATTTTCACTATATTGGATCTTCCTACCCAAGAATAAGGGCTTATCCTTCCATTTTCTTACACCTTCTTTAATCTCACTTTTCAAAGTACTGTAGTTTTCACTGGGAAGTTCTTTTCTTTCTTTCATTTGATTGATTCCTAGATATTTCATTTTTTGTATGCTATAGTGAAAGATGTTGTTTCCCTAATTTCTATCTCAGTGAGTTTGTTACTTGTGTCTAGGAAGGCTGTTGATTTTTGAATGTTGACTTTGTATTCCGCTACACTACTGAATTTGGTTGTTAAATCTAGAAGTCTGTTGACAGAGTTTTAGGGGTCTTCTATGTAGAGTATTATGTCATCCCCAAGCAATGATTATTTGACTTCTTCCTTTCCTATCCTTATTCTCTTTGTTTCTTCCTCCTGTCTAATTTCTCTGGCTGATGTCTGCAGAACTATATTGAATAAAACTGGTAACAGTGGACAGCCTTGCCTTGTTCCTCATTTTAGAGTGAAAGCTTTCAGTTTTTGTCCATTTAGTATGATGTTGGCTGTTGATTTGTGAAAGATAGCTTTTATCAGATTGAGATAAAGGCCAAATATTCCAATTTTCTGTAGGGTTTTTATCATGAATGGGTACTGGTCTTTGTCAAACGACTTTTCTACATCTATTGAGGTGATCATATCTTTTTTGTCCTTGGCTGTTAATATGGTGTATCACATTTATTGATTTGCATATGTTGAACCATCCCTGCACCCCTGGGATTAATCTTACTTGGTCATGGTGTATAATCTTCTCGATGATTTGCTGCATTCTGTTTGCCAGTGTCTTACTGAGGATTTTTACATCTATGCTCATTAGGGAGATTGGTCTGTAGTTCTCTTTTGGTTGGGTATTTCTCTGGTTTTGGTATCAAGGTAATACTTGCCTCCAGGATTGCATTAGGGAGTATTGTTTCCCTTTCAATTTCATTAAAGAGTTTGAGGAATGTGACATTAGCACTTCTCTAAATTTCTTGCACTATGCAGCAGTGAATCCCTCAGGCCCTGAGATTTTCTTTGTTGGTAAGTTTTTCATTACATCTGTAATTTCATTGACTGATATTGGTTTATTTAGAATTTTATATCTTCTTCATTCAGCTTTGATAATTGATATATATTGAGGAATCTGTCCATTTCTTCTATTTTCCATCTTACTAGATAGAATACAGGTTCTTGAAGTAGGTATTGATGATCTGGATTTCTGAAGGATCTACTGTCATTTCACCCTTTTCATTCTTAATTTCATGGATCTGAGTCTTTTGTTCCTTTTTGTGATGTTTGCCTAAGGATTTGTCAATTTTATTTAACCTTTCAAAGAATAAACTCTTGCATTCATTGAGTCTTTGTCCTGTTGTCTGAGTCTCCACTGAATTAATTTCTGCTCTGATCTTTATAATTTCCTCCCACATATGAGCTTTGGTTTTGACTTACTCTTCTTTTTCTAGAAGCTTGAGGTTCAACATTAGGTTGTTTATTTGAGCTCACTCTGTTTTTCTGATATGGGAATTCACTGCTATAAATTTCCCTCATAGAACTGCTTTTACTGTATCACATAGGTTCTGATATGTTTTATTGGCATTATCGTTTAATTGTAGAAACTGTGTAATTTCTCCTTTAATTTCATTTGTGACCGATTGGTTGTTCGGGAGGATGCTATTTAATTTCCATGTGTTTATGAAGTTCTCATGTTTTTTTTCTGCCATAGATTTCCAGTCTCATAGTACTATGGTCTGATCATATGCACGGGATAATGTCAGTTCCTTTGCACTTACTTTCACATGTTCTATCAGCTAGTATGTGGTCTATTTTGGAAAATGTCCCATATGCAGCTGAGAAGAATGTGTATTCTGATGTTGTGGAGTGGAACACTAAATAGATATCTACTAATTCCATTTGCTCATAAGTTTGGTTCAGCTCTGATATTTCTTTGTTGATTTTTTTAATCTACTTGATCTGTCTATTTTTGACAGTGCAGTATTGAGTTTCCCCATTATAATTATATTAGAGCTTATTTGATTTTTCATGTTCATTAATATTTATTTTATATAGTTGGTAGGGTTATATAGTTGGTGCATATATATTTATGATTGTTATATCTTCCTCTTGGATTGTTTCCTTTACAAGGATGTAGTGACTTTCTTTGTCTCTCTGAAACATTTATGGCTTAAAATCCACTTTGTCTGCAAATAGAATAGCTTTGTTCCAGGTTCCTGTCACATGGAGTATTGTTTTCCATCCTTTGGCTTTCAGTCTGTGAATTACTTTTTAAATTAAATATGTCTTTGTATGCAGCATATTGTTGAATCTTGCTTCTTGATTCATTCTACTAGTCTGTTTCTTTTGATCTGTGTATTGAAACCATTAACATTGATAGTTATAACTAATGTATATTCATCTATGTTTGTCATGTTCTTTCCTTGTTGTTGGCTCCCCATTTTTTCCCATTTAATTGCTTACCTTTCCAGATGGATTCATTCTGTTTGGATTCATGGACTTGTACTCCTTGGTATCTCTTTCTAGAATGTCCTTCAGAGCATAAATTTCCTCAGGTGTTCTTTGTCATGGAAGTATCTTATTTCTCCATAAATTTTGAAATATAGTTTTGCAGGGTACATCAATCTTTGTCCAAGCCCCCCTTGACTTAAGGGTTTGTGTTGAACAGTTGTTATTCATGTTTAGCATGTTGCATTTAGGCTCCTTGGAGAAGCACTGGCAAGGTGTGTCCAAGAACACAAATCTATGTCCCTAAGCTTTACTTCTACATGAGCACTTTTGTCCTCCAGCTCATGGCAGGGCATTGAACAGCCCATTTTCTTGGGACTCCACCAAAATGTACATAGAGAGAGGCCAGTCCAGGGAAGTGATTGCCACAGGACTGGACCAACATAAAATTGAGCGTACTAAATGAAGACATGTGGAATGTCAACCAACAACATGTTCCCAGCAATTTCCATAAACATGAAGACTTATTTTTCCCTTTATCCAACTCATCAGTTGTCCAATAAAGAAACTTAGGGAGCCAAAGAAAAATATAAATTATAATGGAATCATAAAATTATTGGTTTAAGAAACCTCTACATCCTAGCAATTGCAATAGCGATTATGTATCCAGAGGATATAGAGTGTTTCATTATCTGATCCTGATTATGACTACTCTGTAGGCCATTGAATTCCTGTGAGGTCAGAATGGAGACAGATTAACTCTAAAGCAGTTTTAAAGAATTTAATTTTATTTCTCTTCCTTTATAATGAACAGAATAGGGAAATCCTGAAACAGGATTTAACTGTCATTTTGTTAATGTGTGATTTCATTCTCTTTTACTCTATAATGGAATTTTAAAAATAAAATTATCTTAATTTTCTTTTGACCCTAGGCTTGACACTTCAAAAGGTGAGACATCAAAAAAGGACCACGTCTCAGCTGAGAACATGTCCTTGGAAACTCTGAAGAACAGCAGCCCAGAAGACCTCTTCGATGAGATTTAACAGTCCTGAAGGGATACTCCAGTGTTCACTAGACTACATTTTCTATTCATTCATTTAAAATGAAAAAATGAAATTTCCACCTAACAGCAGCTATCACGGCACCTTACAGCTTAATGACATGAGTGGGAGCCGTGTAAAGTAGTTTCCTCATGTATGCAGAGATGACTGCATGATAATCTTGCATTATTCTAAACTCTTCATTCACATGTCTGTGATTGCATAAAAATCTCAGATTTCTCTCACAAAAGACACATTGATCCTATTCATTCACACACATTATATGGCGTAGCTGCCTAACATCCTATCCAAGAAGATTTTGGAAATAAGACAAAGTGAACATCTTCTTTAAATGTCTGCATTTCTTCTTAAATGGCTATATTCTGAGCAGTATGTTTGAGCATTTTAATTTGTGGGATGATATATAAAATATATTTTTCTTTTGTGCATATACACTCTGAAGATCTGCTAACAAAATTCTTGATACATTGAAATTTTTGAATTAATAAATGTGTTATTTAGCTTAAGTTTTTCTTCATTGTAATATATTTTTAAAGAGAGCTTCTTAATGCTACCACCTTTTTGTCAAAAATCATGTAAAAGAAAAAGCATATTTTTCAGGAATTGTTGATATTATCGTGTGTATACCCCGGCCCCCCTTGAAGATAAATACATTCGCGTGTCTATCAACAGCGACACCTGCACTTGGTTTTATAGTCAGTGGTGCTACTTTCTCACCTTTCATTCTGTGTTCACTTCTCTGCATTTGAATATCCATCCCCATTCCTGGTGAATGGGGCATCCCATGTTGCCAGTTCTCATGGGTGTTCAGCCTCAGTCCTCGACAGAATCAGTCCTTGTCCTCTTTGTACATTTTGTTAAATTCTTGATTGACCAGGGCTCAGACTTCAGCCCCCTTGTCTCCATCACCTGCAGTGTCAGTCTAGGTCACTGTAGGTTTGGTGTGGTTAAAACCATCTTTGTGCATCTATGAACTAGTCAGTCTCAGTCTCTCTATAGTCATATTTATAGACACAAAAAGGTATGTAAAATTTGTTGTAAATTTGTCACAAAGGAAGTTGCTTGAATTTTCTGGGAAAAAAAAAAAAAGTTCGTTATCAACCTTTGTGCACCCAGGCATCATTTTGAAGCACACATGAGTGCATTTATCTGCTTGTTCCTTTCTTCAGATGGCTTTGCCTACCCAAAGCAGAGATCTGATTACATCCCGCCATCACTGATGTTTGTCTTCTCCATCCAGGAAACTTCACTGCCATGATTCGCTCAGTTTCTTCCAGCGGAAACCCCTGGAGTCCTTCTTGGTGTCTCTGCTTCCTTTCCCACACAGCCTGTCCTTACCACAAAAATACAGCTTATCTCTGCCTACAACTCTCTCTCTACTACAAGTGCCTCCTACTTCCCTACTGTCCAATCAAACTGAATTTTTAAAAACTTCAATAAGATCACTCGTAGAGACCCTCTGATAGTAACCTATTTCATCTGACCAAGTCCACACTCTCACCAGGGTCTATGAGGTCTGATATGATTCAGGCTGATTTCCTGCCCAGGCTCCATGCTCTCTTACCCCACACTACCCTGTGAGTAGGCTGGATCTCCAAAGCATCATCCTGCCGACCCCTCTGCCTAGGACATCCATTTGTGCATGGCTGGTTAGTCTCCTCATTCAAATCTAGAGCCAAATGTTATCATCTCTCAGTGGTTGCCCCAGAGCACCCTCACAGCCTTTTTAAGATTGTGCCCTTTCCATCACTCTGTCCCATTAAGAGTTTTCTGCACTGTGCGTGTTACTGTCTGGATTTCTGTCTCTGTCTCTGTCTCTGTCTCTATCTCTGTCTCTCTGCCTCTCTGTCTCTGTCTGTGTCTCTCCCTCTCCCTCTCCCTCTCCCTCTCCCTGTCCTTCTCTCTGTCCCTCTCCCTCTCCCTGTCCTTCTCCCTGTCCCTCTCCCTGTCCCTCTCCCTGTCCCTCTCCCTCTACCTCTCCCTCTTCTTCTCCCTCTCCTTCTCCCTCCTCTCTCTCTTTCACTCTTTGGCTTACCCTTTTTCTCATAAGCCCCATCATGTTAGAGATAAGGCAATCTGATTTATCTCTCTAGCTCTAATACCAAGATCATGGCTGGTCTCCTAGAAGCTTAATGTCTGCTGAGTAATGCATGTCTGTTCCATAATAGGCATTCAAATGTTGTCTTTTAAATTAAGTTGCTAAGGCATTTTGAAAAGAAATTCTTTGAAAGATTAAACTTTGTCTAGATGATTTGTTACAAAGAAATAATTATCCAGAAAGCTGAAGCATGCTATGTGATTAATTAACATAAAATGTACATCTATGTGTCTGCTCATACATTTGAGTATACAGAGAAAATAAAGATGAAATTACAAATTATTGTTCATATCAAGAGCTAGATTTGACTAAGTTAAAGGTATAGCAAAGTATTATGAATAAAAATTTCCTATATTTTAATTTATTTGATATCTTACATTTAAGAGAAAAAATTTAAAATATCAATGTATGAAATATACATATATAATAACAAAATACAAAAGTCCACTCATCCACACTGGAACTGCGCTATCATAATGAACTTACTTATTTCAAGCCTTATCCTGGATTTTTCCAAGGGTTTCTGTACATGAAGGAGACTACAATTTACTAAAGTCAGTATGCAACCTGTGTGTGTGTGTGTGTATGCGCACACGTGTGTGCGCACGCTTGCAGTGAAAAGGAAGAAAACTACTGGTAAGACAGGAAAACTGTTTCCTAAGTAATTACAGCAATGGAATCAGAAAGTTCATCGTACTTTCAAAATTTTGATTTTATTTCTCTGGGCAGTGGATCTTTTGACCACTATTGGGTTCTTAGATTAATTCAGTGTGTTAGAAAAGATAGAAAAAGAGTATAACAAGATATAACCGCGGCTTCCTTGTCTGTCGAGTGGTGAGGAACAGAGAATGTGTTCTCTGTTTCCTGCCTGCTGTGGATAGACCCCTGTGGGTTTGGTGGGAAGATGTCCACGCCCTGCCATTCCATGCCAAGTTGCTCTCCAGATTTTCCATAATCTATACTCAAAAACAACTTGTTGCAGAAAAGCACTGCAAGAGAAGAAATTGAATTATAATGCAAGGTAGCTTTTTTGATCCTTCGTGTTCTTACCTCCCAGACAAGGAGGTTCCATTTCTGGAGTTTTTTCATCTTAAAATGTGTTAAGTCTTCACCCCAGCAGCAGACAGTATGCCTCAGGCCTCATTAGCAAAGTCCATGAAAGAAAAACTCCTTCTCTGGAAGAGATGTCTTCATTATGTGTTTTTAAAAGGTCAAGAAACTATTTTAGAAAAGTTTTGCTTAGTAGCCTGTAACTCGTATTTATAAAATACAGGACTCTTTGTGTTCTTGAGCCAAACAACGCTTTATTGGGTAATTTTGATTCAACAAATGTTTATTAAGGATCAGTTATGCACAAAATACAGAACTGCGCCACATGCAGAAGTAAAGGATGCTTCCGTCCTCTCAGCCGTGTATTTGTGCTGATGTCTCTTCTGGGCACGAGGCATGGCAGGAAATGGTGCAGATGAGTCCCTGTTGCTTGTATATTGTGCTCCAGGAAGTGAAACTTGGGACCCCCTCAAAGAATGGAGGATGTGGGCGGGAGCTGCACTGGGACAAGCACCGTGACCACTCTGCTAGGAACCGTGGTACAGGAGTGGTGATATCAAAGCTCCCAGCTGTGGATGAGCAGCCACAGAAAATGTTCAGCTGGGAGGTGGACAGCGCTTGGAAGGGGTTGGAGAGTGAGCTGGGGATGAGGCTGTTTGCCTGGCACCAGGCCAGAGCTGCTGCACCAGGCACAGAATCAATGCCTGGACCTGTGATTGTGAATGCCCAGAATGAGGAGGGCTAGAAGGTATGACAGGGCAGTGCTGTGAAGGGTCCTGGAGAGTCTGAACCACGAACTAAGCCTTGTGATGAAGACCTGAAGAGAACCCGGCTGTGCAGTGCTGATGAGCTGCCGGAACATACCCGGACCTTCCCGGGTGTCTGGGAACGGGAAAGGAAGGATGGTCGAAGGGCCTCTTGCTAGACATTGCCCAGAAGAACAACAGCGATGATCATCTTTTCATGTTTATGTCTTTCTTTAGTTCAGTATTATTTACATAACCCATCAAATGTGTCAGTAGCTGACATCTGAATCCAAGAAAGGCCTCATGAATTCACCTGTACGGTAGGAAACCCAGAAAGGAAGTAGTTAATTGTTGTACTCATTGTAACAATTTTGTAGGGGAGAGTGACACCATCACAAAAGAACTATTCGCAATCCATTTGTAGCTATTGTCTGAATTTGAAATCTTCTCTGCTGATCTGACAGCTTCTTATAAATCCTTTTCAGAAGAGCAGATTTCATTTGCAAGCACTCTGTGATGTAACCTAAAATGACTTTTTCTATGTCTTTCTTTGAAAAGAATACCTTGAAAATACATTTTGCAATTATTTCATTAACTAACCAACTACTATCTCTCTTCCTGACTCTTAATTCTTTTTTTATCTGCTCAGCATAAAATCCTCTCCACATTATACTGATTGTTTCCTTTCACAAATCCATATCCTTTCATTCACCCACCATTGTCTTCTTTGTCAGATTTATTTCTCTATGCATAAAATTCTGCATGAATTTTCTTGTTCATACATTGATTTCTCTTTCCTTGTTTGGAGGCCTTTCATCCTAAATTTTCATCTCACAGTCTTACAGTGAAACTATCCCAAAGTCTCTTATTTATTCAGGAAAGGGGACAGATATTAATTGTTCTTACTGAAGGGCAGGAGCAATTTTGGTAGCTAGACTTCCCGTAAATGGAATCTATACTGGTCCTGAAACACTGTTGACATAGACACAGTCTCCAACTCAGTTGTGATCCTAGAAATAACACAACCAGTTGAATAAATGCGGGTGAAATAGATAATTTTTATGCCTGTACAAGACTCTTTTCACCTTGCATTCTTCCAGAAGCTGAGCCTGAGAAAAGGGCTTATAGAAAAGAAATACATTTCCTGATGAGATCCCAGGAACCAGGAAGTGAGACCCTAGAAACCAGGAAGTCAGACAGAAGCATAAAACAGAGGAGGGGAAGGCAAAGCAAAGATGCCTTATCTGGATGCCACCAGAATCTCCTAAGAAAGCTCTTGAAAGTTTTCCCAGAACCACACATGCATGGGGAAAGGAAAGCATCAACTACCCGTTGGTTACTTTCTCTCATTGGTTGAGGGTAGCCTGGAAACAGCACCCCATAGTTCAGTGCCCTGTGTGAATGCACGCCAGATTCCTGCTGGTGGCCAGGAGGAGCCAGGTGCCAGGTGCATTCAAGGACTTCAAGTCTAGCAAGGACGCACAGAAACTCATTGCCGAGGATGTGATTGGTATTAAAGGGGGTCTGGGGGATTTTGAAGAGATATATGGGGATGCCCAATGTGGCTCCCACATTTTATCCTATATGGTTAATGCATACCTAAGAGCTTATCTGCATTAGATGTGTTTTCTACTCACTGCTTGATTTTAGTGATAGTATAAAAATCTATTACCTTTGACAACATAGGTAGCTTTCATAAATTTAAAAAAAAAAAAACAATAAATTTCAAATGGGAGAATTCCCACAGTTGGATTTCACTGGGAGGAAAATATGTGCATTAATCTATGAAATACTACAGACCATCATAATTTGTCCCAGCCTTACTGAATAGACACACTAGACTAAGATTATGTTCTCTCTGCCACTTTCCCACTTGGAATCTAATGGAAGCATCATGAGAGTTGTAGACACTCTGGTGGGACAAAATGGTGGCAGTGGTGATAGAAATCTGTGTAAACATGATGACTTTCTCATTAATGCTTGGCAGACATTTTAGGGAACTTGACCTTGTGAAAATTTCCAAGGGCTTCTACTTAATAATATTGAAGAAAGTGTTGGTTCACTTTTCAAAAAAGGTGTAATTCTTTGAGGGACTAAATTTACAGAGGAGCAATTAGATTACCATGGAAGATTACATTTTCTCTGTAATTATTTACTGTTCACTGCCCCATTCATTGACTGGCTTTGGTCAGTAATTGTGGATAAAATAACATATTTGTGCTTAGGAGGCAAGGACTATTTCCTGCTTCTGCTATGCCTTTGGGAGAATGTAATCTCTGCTATGAGGGGAATATGTGCCAGATAGCTGCTGCTCCTCCCACCCTAATCTTTGATGACCTGCAAATTAGAAGTAAACCTAGTCTTCAAGCCAGAACCAAGCCCAGCAAGCTGGAACCCTCAGAAGAGCTGTCTGTCTGAGCCCATGCAGATAAACTGAGCCATATTCAGCTGTACTTACTGTCTTACAGTAAAGCAGTAGTTGCTACACAAAGCCACTGAGATCTGGATAGTTTGTCATTTAGCAATATTTCACAATTCATGACAATGCAGTTATTCACATAGAAAAACAGGCAATTTTATAACACGTATAGCAAATGTTAGTGTCTACATGAAACAAAATTAGTTGTCTTCAGCCTATAACCTGGTGACCCAGTAAACAAATTAGAAACATGGATTGAGGAGCCAGATCAAGCTACATTCCTGCCCTGTTTCTTCCAGCTGATCACTGACACTGGGCAGCTTGTATTTTCTGAACTTGAGTTTTCTCATCCTGCACCTGGAAGGTGTGAAGGTGTCACACATAAAGCAGCACCGTGCCCGGCATGCGATGCATGAGGCATGTGTGGCAATTTTGTTAGAAACCAACCCATGATAAATTAGCACAAAG